AAAGGCTTTTTCAAGCAATACTGTTGGCCTCTAATAATACTTATATCGAAATTACGTATCCTAGTCGACAAGAATGAAGTGAGTAGGAGAAGTCATCTTGTAAAACTTATATCAACTTAAGAGACTTAGACGTGTTAAAGGCTGATTTTATAATCACTGCCAGTACTAAAAACCAAGTACATAGGAAATAAATAATTTTGTCTAATGCAAAAAATAAGTAAGGAAATAAAGTTTCCAAACGAAAATCACCTTAAAAAATTAAGGCTTACTCAACTCTTATTCAATAAGTAGTGATAAACTCGAAAAGGAAATAATTGAAGTATAGCAAGTTAGTTAAATGCAATAAGGCGGGCAGGAAAAATCAAACTACAGACTTTGATTCATCGCAAGTGATTTAGACGCACTCAGTTGTTACTGACTTATTGATATTATCCTCGTATACTACTTATATAGCAAATTAGTGACCGCGTCGAAAGTAATGAGGTTAATGAGAAAAATCAAATTCTACTTCTTTAATATCCTTAAGTATTACATAGCTCGCTAAAATATCATTTAATAATGAGTCAAATTATTGGAATCTGCCTATATACAAAGAAACTAACTTCGTCTATTGCGTTGAGGTGAATACGAAAAATCAACTAGCAGTCCTTGAATTCAAGTATTACTTATAGTCTCTAAAACTACTTAAATTGGTAATAAGTAACTTCGTATAATATAATGAGATATGTAGAAAAATCTTTTTAAGAGATATACGCTCACATAGACAATATTAAAGAAATAATCATTGGTTTGTATACTACTCATTTATAAAATAATTAATCTTGTCGATTACACTAAGGTAAGAAACCTCGAATAAAATTCCTTGAGTGATCTTAAGTAATTTTTATCAATTTATTAATAATAGATTCGAAAAATGCATATATTGACTACAAGTTGTCTGGTTTAATGTAATTATGTAAACAATAAAATTCAACGAGCAGTTTCTTAATATCCTTAAGCCATCTAGACATACTAAATTCTTATTAATAATATATATCAAGTATCATTATTTTTTTAAACAAGCAATCCTGTCCTATGCAATAAGGTTAGTGTAAAAATTAAATTAAAAATTCTTAAAATTCTCAAAATCTTAGTTAAGAATTAATGAAATTCTTGGACACTACTTGCATCGAAAATAAGTAAGTAGTTAGGCCATGTGTTTAATGGGAAAACACAACTAGTAGACTGTAACCCTAAGCAAGTCGATGAATTCCCATATTGTGTGACCTTTATTTTGGTTATTGACTCTTCTCTCTGTATATTTATTATTCGTCTAACCTCTTTCTCTTTAATTAATTTTCGCTGTCAATTCATTCACCAAGGGCTTGCACATACTGACATTTTAGTATTAGGCATATATCGGGTCAATGTGCAAAGCTGTATCTTATCTTGCTTGCTCTCTTTGAAGATGCTGAAAAT